TTTTATCTAGGCCTTGCATCTCCCATATTTCTCTTTCTTTCTCTATCTGTTCCTCTCTCTCTCTCTAAGTATCTCTTTCTCACTGTCTCTGTCTCTCTGCCTTTCTCTCTCTCTTCCCCCTTCTCTCTCTCTGACTCTCTTTTCTCTTCTACTGCTCCTGTCCCCGGATGGTGGTCTTCCTCCTCTTCTCCCCTTCTTTCTATTCTCTTTCCCCTAATAAAAAAATCCCTTTATGTGAGCTCTATCTCATGGCATCTTTTTCTCTCAGGCTGCTTGCTAAATTACAACAATTGCTACTTCTCCACATCCCACTTCTATCAAATATACACAAACTATGATTCCTTATTCATCTTCATTCCATGTTTTCTTGAATTCCCTCTGTGTGTGTGTGTTCTCTCTGTGTGTGTTCTTCTCCATTTTATATAAATATGAAAATACACCATTTCTTGCTCACTATATTAAATTAAAAGTTCATGACTATACCAGGCACATTCAGGGTGGTATGGGAACTAGAAGAAACCATCCTCAGTGAGGTAACCTAATCACAAAAAGATAAACATGGTATGTACTCATGCATTTTTGATTTTTAGACATAGAGCAAAGGATCACTAGCCTACATCCCACACTGCAAGAGGAGCTAGGAAACAAGGAGGACCCAAGAGAAGATTGCATAGTCCCTCAAAGAAGGGGATAGGTACAAGAACCCCTGACCAAATTGGAGCCCGGGGACAGGGAGAGGAAGGAGAGTCTTCATCCAGTTGCTGTTCAAAGCAGAAACAGACACCCATAGCTAAGCACTGAACCATACTACTGGAATTCAGTTGTGGAGAGGGAGGAGGGTTGAGCAAAGGAGCCAAGACAGGGATGGAGAGACCGCAGAAACTGTGGACCTGACCTACTGATAGAATGGAGATCCTGGTCATAAAGCCATGGAAACAGCATTGGACCAAATCAAACCCTCTGAATGTGGGTACCAGCTAGGAGCCCAAGACAGTCTATGGCTCCTCTGGCAGTGGAGCCAGTCTTTTTATCCCTAGAGCACAAATGGACTTTGGGAGCCCATTGCCTATGGAGGGATACTATTGCAGCCCAGATACAGGAAGGAAGGTCTAGACCCTCCCCCAAACAATATGACAGACTTTGAGGGTCCTTGGTAGAGGGCCTCACTATCCCTGGAGAGGAGTCGGGGGTGGGTTGGGGTGGGGAACATGGGAGGAGGGGATGATGAGGGAATGGGGGGATGGATATGTAAATGTAATTAAAAATAATAAAATTTTTTAAAAATCTCATGACTTGCTCACATTTAAATCCAAAGCCTTCATATGGGGTAGAAAGATATGTTTAATTTAAATATTCTCACTAATAAGTTTTGGAATTCCTGATTATGAATACAAAAACAAAAATGTTCTTTATTTACTACATCTGCAACAATTAAGAATAATATATCAGTTTCTTAGATTTCCATTATTCTTACATCAGGAACAATATTAAGTCATATTTTCTTACTCATTTACATTTTTATAAATTGTTTGATTGTATTAACAACTATTTTATGTCATGTGAATATGGAATAAAAATTAAAATTTTGACTTGTCACAATTTGCTGGATAAATTATGCACAACTTTAAATTATTTCATCATTTGAAACAAAATAAAGGTTATACATTCTATAATTACAGAAAGAAATTTTCTACTATTTATAAACACAGCAAAAGAAGCTTTTTTTTTGCAGTAATACACACTAAGCTTTGACAAGTTCAATGTACAATTTTCCTGGTTATCCAAGCACATAAAGTAAAGAAACCCTGAACTTCACATTCTGGAGACTTTACAAAACTCTAGACGATAATGATGTATTTTTAAAGCCATCTAATAAGCATCGGGCCACATTCCTTTTGTAAAATAAGCTTCTTCCAATTAAACTAGAGAACTGAAAATGGTTTACACTTTCATCTGATGTGATAACCCCATATGTCAGAGTTATGGCATACAATTCCAGCTCACAGAAAGAATTAAAGACTAGCTAGAGGGCAATTTTTATATACAATTTTATGATTATAATAACTATTCCTTCAGTAAAATCTAGTGTTGTCTGTTTGTTTGCAGTCCACTAGCAAACAACTGGGCACCAGAAAAATCTTCTGCAGATGCTCAATTGGTTAGTTACAGATTCTCCACTGAGGCAAATTCTGGGAGTATATCTAGCAGCTGTTGGATGCTGAAGCAGGCACACATAGCTAAACACTGAGCTGAAATCTGGAATCCAGTTGCAGAGACAGAGGTGTGATGAGCAAAAGGGTAAACACCAGGCTTGAGAAACCCACAGAAACAGCTGACGTGAACAAGGTATTGTTCGTGGACCCCAGACTGATAGCTGGGAAACCAGCATAGGTCTGTTACAGACCTCCTGAATGTGGATATCAGTTTGGAGGTCTGGACAGTCTATGGTGTCTCTGGTAATGGATCAGTATTTATCCCTACTACATGAATGGACTTTGGGAGCACAATCCACATAGAAGAATACTCTGTCAGCCTAGATACACAGGGGAGGGTCTAGGTCCTGCTCCAAATGATGTGACAGACCTTGAAGATTCCCTATGGAAGTCCTCACCCTCCCTGGAGAGCAGAAAGGGGATGGGATGGTGGTCGGTGTGGGGCAGGGAAGGAAGGGAAGTTGAGGGAATGGGGATTGACATGAAAAACAATCTCGTTTCAAATTTAAATTTAAAAAAAGGAAAAAACATTAAAGGAAACTAAATTTATAAACATAAATACTACTTTGTTCTTTGGTACAACTTTCACTTTTTGGTTAAATATTTTCGTAACTGAAGGCATTATTGTTTGTTGACTTTTTCTTTCCTAGGCCAATAACAAACATTTTGATAAAGAAAACCTAAGAATATAAATGGAAGGTTATGTCTCAAAATTAGATTATTCTTTGTCTAGATTATCAAAATTGTTATTTGGGCAGGAGGAAGTCAATAATTTTTCAACATGAGCACACACACTGTTTCTGAACCATACTGGTGATAGTGATAATATGAATGATACCCCAATAATGGATCGAAAATATACTTGAGCTACCTTATATTGGCATTCAAAATCTACTAATGAATTTCCATAGATATTTTAATCAAGCATAGTATTACTTAAAAGTTGATTCATACATTGAAATGAAATATATTCTATTAAGGTGATTACAGTGAGTAGTCAAATCTCTCCACTTCCAAATTTTGTCATCGCATTTCACCAAAAACTCTACACTCAAAATTACTATAATATTTATAGGGTATAAATTTGATGCACTCATTCTCTGTTATAGTTGCATGACTGCTATGTAAATTTCTAACAATGTGGCATAAAATCAATCCTACTGGACACATTTACTTCATATAATTTGACAAGTACTGTAAACCATGATTTGGTACAAATGTTTTGTTTTTGTCTTCTATGTCCCTAGTTGTTAAGCAATAGTACCTCTGTTGATCTGTGGGGTCTTTTGAACCATTCTCAAAAAAAAATTTGCAAAAATTATTTTCATAAGCTACATAGATCTTTAATTGCATAAATTTTATACCATTAGTTAATAATAAATATGAGCTCTTTTAAGAAAAGAACAGCATTTCTTTTATAGAAAATTTAGGAAGTATTTTATTTGAAATTATATGTGTGAAATATTGAGCAATAGTAAACATCAAGAGTGATTTGGCTCATAATATTCTGCACTGAAAGTATACAAATTTTCCTGGACAAAGTAAAGGTATGTGCTGATTATTTTTCTGTCAACTTGACTCATGTTAGGATCATCTGAGAAGACAACTTCAATTGAGAAAATTCCTTCAGCAAATTGCCATATAGGCAAGTCTGTGAGAAATTTTCTTTATTAATGGTTGATAAAGGAAGAAGTCAGCCCACTGTATGAGAGAAATAAACCTTGGGCAGGCGGGCCAGCAATGGAAATCTAAGAAATTTGGTTGAACAGGCTATGAGCAGTAAGCCTGTAGGAATGTTTCTCCATACTCTCTGCTTCAGTTCCTTTTGTGACTTTCCTTCAAGAACAACTACAAGCTGAAAGCTGAAATAAGCAAATTGGTTTTGGTCAAACCATGTGTCATGGTTTGAATGAGGAGGACTCCATAGGCTCATATATTTGAATGTTTGTTTTGTCAGTTGGTCAGACTGTTTTAGGAAGGATTAGAATATGTAGCCTTGTTAGAGGAAGTAAATACTGAGAGTAGGCTTTGAAGTTTCAAAAGCCCATGAGCTCTTTTACTCTGCCTCATTTTTACAAATGAGATGCAAGTTATCAGTTACTACATCAGTTCCATGCCTGCCTGCCTACTGCCAATCTCCCTGCCATGATGGTCCTTGCCATTACAGTTATTTGAAACCTATGTTTCCAATCCAATGTTCCCTATGTTCATTAATAAACATACTATGTACAATGTGCACTTTCTATTCCTTCATCCTGGAATGTGCTTTCCTGATATATACTCAAGGAGTTCTGAACACCAAGTTTAACCTCATCATACAGCCTATAAATTAGTCCATTAGTCTTTATCATGCTATTCACTCTAAAAATTTCATATGACCACCAGCCATAGCTTCCAATAATCATTTTTCTCCAACCAAAACACAATTAGCACTGGAAGTGATCTTTTCATTATTTGATTCATTGTGCAACTTCAAGACCTATATAGGTATTTGATGCTTAAGTTGTTATTATTTTGGAGGGAATTAGAAATAAAAATGTCAAGTCTAACTAAAGATCCAAGTTCTTCAGTTCACTTCTAAATTCAGGTTATTTTTGTTTTCTCTATTGTAAAATCTTAGAAATCTGCCTTACCATATAGTTCAAAAATAATGTTTCTTTTATATTTATTTATTCTTTTTTTCAAGTGGAGGGGTCTCTTATGAGGGGAAAAGGAATGTGAAAAGAAGGGAGGGGAGTGGGAAGAAGGGCCTCTGCCATATAGTTCAAAAATAATGTTTCTTTTATATTTATTTATTCTTTTTTTTCAAGTGGAGGGGTCTCTTATGAGGGGAAAAGGAATGGGAAAAGAAGGGAGGGGAGTGGGAAGAAGGGCCTCTAGGGCAGGAGTGGCAAAACAGAAGCAAGGAGACAGGCAGGAAGGAAAGGCAGAGAAGCAGAGAGACAGAGCGTGGGGGGATGGGAGCTGGGCAAGTCTCTTTTAAAAGGGAACATAATGAAAGTGCACAGGTGGCTGCAGCTGAAAGAGTATCCTGTCAGAACCCCAAGGGCAGGCCAGTAAAGATGCCTGAATACTAACACACACAGGTGGCCTTCAGTACTAAGTCTTCAACCATATTTCTAGGTCCTTTATCCAGGAAATTGTAGACTTTGCCCAGGCACCTGAAAGTCTGAGGAAGGATGATCACTTGAGTCCAGCAATTCAAGAATTCCTAGGAAACAACAAAGAGACAAAAACCCTCTTAAAGTCAGCTCCTCAGAGAGTACTCAACCTTCATCAGAGCGAGGAACAGCCAGAGCAGACAGGATAACAACTGCCTGGCACTCCAGGAGCTGAAACACTTGGTGTCACAGGGGGCTCACACACTCAAGTCTTCTACAAGAGAAGGCTCAAGGGAGAGAAGATCTGAAAGAATGCCCACCAATATGACTCGCCACATTCTCCCGACAAACAGAGGGAAACAATTTCTACATGCTCTTCGATGCTGTCCTGATGAAACAATAAAGAACTAATACCCTGGGATGACTGTACCCTGAACACACCCATCTAGAATGCCTCGTCCTGCATTCCCTACACACTGAGCAGTGAGTCTGGCCCGCCCGGGATTATGCTCTCCTCCAGGCCCTGGCCGTGTTTTTCTGACCAGTTTTGTTCTGTGCATGTTGAGAACTATCAGCCTGCAGCATCATTGCGCCCAGGTGTGACTGTTCAATTTACCGGCATTCCTATAGGGAGGCTTTCCGTTTTCATTTGCAATTTGGGAAGGCTTCCTTTACAATTCACCTTTCAGTCTCAGGAAAAAAGTACCCAGAAAGCCTTAATTAATTAAGCCACTCAGCTCTTTGGAGAGATTTGCATCTCTGACAATGGAGCAGTGCCTGGGCGACAGGGATATTTGCTCATGTTCTAAATCATGCTTCAAAGGAGGTTTATCTTCAGCCATTTGGACTCTAGGTCTCCACTGAGGGGTATCAGAGGATCAAGTGACTGTGAGGATGACAAAGAAACCCCCACTCTGAGTATCCTCCAGGCTGTCCCTACTTTAAAGCATTAACCCCACATTAACTGCAGCACACAGGCACATACAAAGCAGTCTGGACATTGTTAGTGGGCATCTTGTGACTGCATCTCAGTACCTCCCAGGTGACCTTTGCCGGTATGAGATTGGTAGTAGCAACTCCAATTTAAGAGATGAGAGGTCTCTGAAAGACTATAACTTCTACCACTAATAAAAGATTTAAAAACAGTGTGGATTTAGGTTTAGTTTTCCCTACTGAAGGATATCTCAGTGGCCATTGCACAGAATCCAGGCATGGAAACATTGTCAGGAGATGGGGGCCTGTAAAGGACCATAGGAGGGAACTGTGGCTTACCCGGGCATGGTGGTATATACACTTGTAAACTCAACACTCGCTGGCAAAGGCAGGAAGACCAAAAGTGTGACAGGTCTCAAGTCATTGAGTACCATTATTACCCTGAAGGATCTTTTTTATATAGTGTGTCTAAAGTTTAAGGGGAAAAAAGAATAGGCTAATAATCTTCAAAGTGGTTTTGTTTTATTTCTTAGTTCCTATATGTGTGCAAGTCTTCTGACTTAAATTGCAAGTCTCTAACATGAAAAGTTTGACTTAGGAGACAAACTGGAATAACAGCTCAGAAAATTGCTTAATTTTAAGAAAAAATATTATGCAAGTTCACTAGATATCTGTGAAATGAACAACTGTTTTGTGTTTTGTCATTACTCTTAGATTAAGGTTGAAAAGTAGTTCAGGCCTAGAGTGGCCTATGGTACTTTGTGCCTGCAGAGATATATACTGATACTCTAGAGTTCTTCAACATCACATTTATTGTCATCTCAATTGGATCTTGAAATCCACTCCAATAGTATTTACACCAAAGGAATTATACAGTAGTGCTAAATAAGTTGTGAATAAGAATGAAATTAGAAGAAAAATATCAATGTTAATTTGTTTCCTAAAAAGCAATCTGCAAAATACTGATAAACCTCTCCAATTTGGTTTTAATACAATAATCTTTAACTAAGATTATGTTTTAAATTTGCTTGTGTTTTAATTTAGATTATGAATTTAAGGTCAATAAGGGACAAACATAAAGAGATGCAAAAAAAGGAGAAATTATTTGCTAGCTTTATATTACCATGGAAATATTTGATTTTCCCTACAAATTACCACTAAGTAAAAATGATTCCAATAATTTAAAGTATAACCCATTTTCAAATCTAAATAATGCATATGAATAATAAAGTCATTATTTTCCAAACTAATAAGAAAAAGTCGATTCAATAATCCTGGTACTAGTAAAGTACTAGAATAAGAGTAAATATTCTTGTTTTATGGGAATGGATAAAGTGTTATCTGAACAAGCATGGGTTTCTGAGATTGGAATCCCAGCACCCACATAAAACCTAAACAAGGAAACTGGAGCCTATATGTCCAGTGCTGTAGAGGAGAAAGACACATAGATCCCAGGAGTTGGCTGATCAGACTGGTCAACATGAAAATCTCCAAGTTCCATAAAGTCCCTGTATCAAAATTAAGATGAAGAATTAAAGAGGAAGACATCCAGAGCCTAGATCTGTACATGCCACATACAGGTGAGCACATGCTCACACACATACACACACACAGAAAATCAAACCCACATATACACACAAACACTAACACACAGACTATTCCCCCATAAGTGTTTACATGATCATATCACAATGAAACCCATTTATTTGTATAATTGTATAGTATATAAAGGTAAAATTGTTACAATAAAAATAAAATAACATTTTATTTTTTAATAATTTTTACATTTTTTATTTAAATGAAAAACATTTTCATTGTATATTAGTAAATAGAAAGTGACTATATGGGATCAATTGGAAAATATAAAAGAAGTACAATATAAAATTTTAAAATGCAGTGAAGGAAAAGTAGTAGTAATTTTGTGTATGACTCCTACCCAAGCATCCCAAATTGATTTCCAAAGTTTAACCTATTAATAAGAATCTCTCCAATATTACATTAGTTCATCACACCTGTTGGCTGTGGGCACACTACCACTTTCTCACAGACAACACTTCTTGGGTCTTGGCAGTATATACAGGAAATATTAGCATTATTTGTTGTCTCTAACTACACATTTAGAAACTACAAATTGATACAAACAATTTCTGCCTCACTTAATGAATCAGGCTCATGAGGATTAATAATTATAAGTAAGGTAGCAGCGTATGGTATGTCCTGTACATAAGAAAATGTTTTATTGTTTTAAAAAATAAAAGAAAATATTTTATATCACAGAAATTTTATTCTTAGAGAGCAGTGTGTCAAATTCTATCACTCTGACTGGGAAATTCAATAATAAATGGAAAAAAAACCAGACATTGAATCCTTCATGAAATCAAGGCAAATAATATTTGATTTGTAATCTCTCTATACAAGAATACCTAAAGATAACTTATCCTAAAGGAATTTGTGTTTTTGTACAAAATACTAATTAATATTTTGCTGTATTAAAGTGAATTTCTTTTGTATAGAAATGTAATTGCTTTCTCTGTTTCTCCAGTTATAGTCATTTTGAATTTAAGGATACCATTAAGTATTTGGTGTATCCCAATGATCTCTTTCTTTGAATTTATTAAAATACAAGTATCTAAAAGAACCATAACATATCTGGGAATTAAAAGGCCCTATTGCAAAATGCATAAAGAATAAGTTAAAAAGAAGAGTAATATTCTTCATGGTACCTGTAAGGAAAGTAGTTCACAGTCCAGTATGCTATAAGCATGACAAACACATTCTACAATTAGGAATGTCTTCACTTTTTTTTATAACCATAGCCAAATGGCAATTGATTCAAGTCTATACTGAAATGGTGACATGACCAAAAATATTAATAATATTCTCTACCATAAAACTAAAAATGAACAAAGACTTTACAGTAGGTTTTTCTTTCAATATTGTGACATTTTAATTTAGATACATGTAGAAATAAAGATAGACAGGAACTCCAATTATTTCAAAGAATAGTTTCTCATTTAATTTGAAAACAGTGAGAATGGGGTCTGAATTTTCCATGTAAGTTTACCATCTGTATTTAGAAAAACAATTTCTGCTTATGAGGCTTGTCTATTATGCATGGATAAATGTTGGAGGAAGTCCTTCTGTGTATGTTTATCTTCTTACTGGTTGTTGAATAAAGTACTGTTGGCCAATGAAGAAGCAAGTTGGGCAGGACTAGGAGTCAAGAATGATTCTGGGAAATGTAGTAAAGGAAGTCTTGTGATACAGGTATGAAGTGACATAACAGACAGACTCATATATAAGCAAAAGAAGGAAGTCATTCCTTTTTCTCTTCCTCCTGCTCTCTGCTCTGAAGCTGCTGTTTGATCCCAGAAAGAGAAGACACCAACAGCTGGTGTACGATAAGGTAAGTCTTTATGGTTGATAATTAAGACTGAGCTAGCATATAAGAATTCCTAGTCTTTGACCAAGAAGCATTTGAAACTAATATAAATCTCTGTGTGTTTTTTGGGCCCTTAATATGGTGGCGGGCATAACTCAGGCAGCCTGGAAGAAAGCACCCTCGTGTAGGCGGGGCTTGGGCAGCTTGGTGGAAAGACTTATTTTTACAGTTAAATAATGAAAAGATCTAATTAAACACACACACACACACATACACACACACACACACAAATTTGTATATCAAAGAACCCTTGACCTACCACTAGTTATGTCTCATTAAACTAACTTTTAATTCTTTATGAAAATCATGTGATATGTTAGAAACTAAAAATGCCAGCCTCAACAGATTGAATTGTAATTATAAAAATATCCCACTAAGGAAATGCCTTGCTACTGAAACTCTCAAACAAGAACTGAAATTTCAGAGATTGACCACAGAGTTTTGCTTTGTAATTCAAAGCTTTCCCATCAAACAATTCAGAAACTCCAAGGTAGGCACATGGTATGTTCACTTTACCTATCAGGCTTATCCCACAATTTCCTGTATGACAAACTCCCTTGCAAATTGACTTTCCTAATACCCTGAATCTCAAATTTACTTAAATATTTCAATATTTGATGACCAAAAATCTTTCCTCTTTATGTAGTCTATGAATATTTTTCCTTTTTCATGGCATTTATTTCCATTTCACACAGTATATTTTATCTATTTAATATATTCATTTCTATCTGCAATTTCTAGATTATATATCTCAAATATCAGAGTCTTTTTGCCATTTTGTTCACTGATAACATCACAATCAGTATGAAGCCAGCTCTGCATTATAGACTAAAAATAGTTAATTTTTGCTTAAGATAAATAATTAGGCGACCTATGCTTCTGAGCTAAAGAATGTAAAGAAGTCATTTTCTAGGAATATTGTCTTTTTATGTTCCTTGGACTTTCTGCCCTATAGCTTTTAATAGTCTTTCTTTGTTCTAGATGTTTAGTGTTTTGGTCATAATTTTTCTGTCAAGGGGACTCTATTTTCTGGTCCAATCTATTTGGTGTTCTGTGAGCTACCTGTGCTTTTATATTTAGGCATATCCTTTTTTAGGTTAGGAAATGTTTGTTTTGGGCTGGAGAGATGGCTCAGCAGTTAAAGCCTGGACTCACAACTGAAAATATAAGGAAATGTTTCTTCAATGGTTGTGTTAAAAATATTTTCTGGGTCTTTAAGCTGAGAATTTTCTCCTTCCTTTCCTATTATTCTTAGGTTTGGTCTTTTCATAGTGTTCCAGAATTCCTGCATGATTTGTGTCAGGAATTTTTTTTTTTAGTTTGTTTATTTATTTATTTATTTATTTATTTATTTATTTATTTATCATAGCAATACCCCATTGCCTTGTCCTCCCATCTTCCCACGTCCCCCACCAAGCCCCCAACCCACCTCCCACCCACTCCCCAAGGATAGTGAGGCCTTCCACAAGGGATTATCAATACATGTCACATAATTTGGGGGAGGGCCTAGGCCCTATTTCTTGTATCTGGGCTGCAATAGTATCCCTCCATAGGGAGTGGGTTCCCAAAGTTCATTTGTACACTAGAGATAAACACTGGTTCCACTGTTAGAGGTACCATAGACTGCCCAGGCCTCACATTTTCTTTGACCTAAGAATCAATTTTATCTATTGTATCTTAAACCCCTGATATTCTCTATTCCATCTCTTACATTGTGTTGGTTATTCTTGTGTCTGTGATTCCTGTTTGTTTACCTAGAATTCCCATCTCTAGAATCCCCTCAGTTTGTGTATTCTTTATTGCTTCTATTTCTATTTGTAGGTCTTAAAGAGTCTAATTTATTTCTTTCAACTGGTTTTATTTCTTAGCTTTCTTTAAGGGGCTTATTCATTAACTCCAATTTTTTGTTTGTCTTTTTCTCAATTTCTTTAAGATAGTTATTCATTTCCACTTTAAGGACCTCTATCATCTTCATAAAATTGTTTTTAAGGTTCCTTTCTCATGTTTCAGCTATATTGGAATATTTAGGACTTGCTGTATTTGGATAGCTAGGCTCTTTTGGTGACCTACTCTTCTGTCTGTTGTTGATTGTCTTCTTACACTGGCATCTAGGCATCTGGGTTTGGGGTAATTATAGATCTAGGTGACTAAGACTGAGTTTGTCTTTGTTGGGTGGTGTTTTCATTCGTTGTTTTGTGTCCTCTATGATCTGTCTAGAGTGGCCATTGTTTGAGTGGAGGTTTGGGGCTGAAGTTCTTGCCAGCCTGGCCTCTGGTTCCATTAAGGATCCTCAGCAGGAGTTGGGAATCAGGATATGGTGAAATGGATGGGGAGGGCCATTTGGGCTGGTGGTGCAAACAGTGAGAAAGTGGGGGCTATCTGCTAGCAAGATGCCTACCTGGAATTGTGGCTGCTGGTCTGACCTGTGGTGGGGCAGAGTGCTTCCAAGAGAGTTGTGGTGTTGGAATTTGTTACAAGGGAAGAATGAGCAGTGGTGGTAGTTTTAGCATTCAGGCATTACATTGCCTTGCCCTAGGGTCCTCAACTGAGAGCACTCCTTGTGCTCATGTGCCTGCTAGTACTTAGGTGTTTGTATTGGCCATCGCTAAGGGTCCAGACAGGATACATCATTAGCTGCAGCCACTCCTTGTGCACATTCTCTACATCCCTTCATAAAAGGGGAGACCCTCTCCCATGTGAGCTCTGTAGTATGGTGTTGCTTTCCTTCCTAACACCATCAAACAACAATAGGTAGGCTGGGTAATTTGGCAAGTCTGTAGGGAAGGAGCTTACTTGGGCTTATACTATATTAACTAAAGGAGGGGAAAATTGACCTCATTTAAGCAATTAGAGAAAACAGTAGAATGGCAAGTTCCTAAAAATAAAAATACAGTAATCCAAAGTGGAATTGCCTTTTATTCCCCTGTCTTCCAATGTAATTAACAACAGCAACCTAGGCTGTATTTTTCCCTCAATTAATTGATGGATTTTCAACCATATTCTTTACTTCTTTCTATGTGGAGAGTCTATTTAACATATTACCTGTCATCAATGCAGTTGTTCAGAGTACTTGTTCAATAAAATACTGGAAATATTTTTATGCCAAGAACTGTGTGCTTGAGAGCAAGACACAATTTAAAAGTCTTTAGATTCTCAAACTCAGAAATTCATATTCATCTATTTTTATAATCTATGAGATGTAAGACTACTATTCTCTTTGGATTGCATATACCTTATTTTATGTCCTTTTACACAGTGCTGTATCTCAGTTATAATATCTCTTTGAAAGAGAGCACAGTGGGTTCAACCTCATATTTCCCCATGTGAGAAGACAAACACCTAGAGTTTCTGGAGATGTTTACATTTAGAATTCTCCATAAAATATTTTGCTTAGGATGGCTATTCTTCTTACCCCTTACCCTTTCAAATTAGTTTGCTATATTTTATAGCCTGAAGGAAATATTAGCTTCAAATAAATTTTAGACAGATTTTTTAGTGAAACATATGTCATAGAAGTCCCAGAATGGGCTGATTCAGAATCTCTTTAGTCTCTGAATCTGACAGAACCCAAGTTCAAATAAATGAGAATACAGGCATGGATTGCTTTATAGAGAATAACATAGAAGCTGACCTCTGTCTACAGCTTCTCTGATAACTATGAACAATGAAGTATAAAATAGTTACTTGAACATTTCACTTTTTATAGTTCAGTTAAGTATACCAAACAAGTTTATAAATAAATGCATTTTATATGCATTAAAGTACAATATTGAATGAACAGTAATTGTCTATTGTACATAGGGACTCATTCTATTCACACACTGGGGAAAGGAAGTAAGAAACAATCCTGGTCTTGGAAGAACATAATAGTTTGTATAAACAAAAACAAAATTAGATGCAAGGAAAACACAAAGAAGTGATTTTATAATATTAATAGTAGAAATGAATGATGGAATATTGAACTCAACCACCTATTGAAAATCTTAGAAATTATTAAATCAAAGGAAATTGCTATAACCAAAGAAAATAGTAAGCAAGACCAAGCTAGAACATAAACACTAGCACCATCCTCCTTTAAAATTCATATGAGGAAACTAATTCATATTAGTGTGAAAACGTTTTGTCTTGTGAAATATGTAAGTCGTGATGGTGCTATAGTCATGGATGTCATTAATACTGCAACAGAAGAAGTCCAAGGGATCTCATTGTCATCTCTGAAATGTGAGTAAACATAGTTAATATCATTTATTATGAAAGCAAAGAATTTACTGGTTCCTTGATTTTGGATAGAGTAGCTTCTAGGATTCTGTTGTCTTCTACATTTATATAGTTGAATAATACAACTGTGATATGATGTCACCTGTAAATGGAGGTATTTCTCCTGCCTGCCAGATCCTGAATAAACACTTAGAGGTTTAATATTTGTCCCAACTGAGGGAAATCAGCCTGGGGCAAGAGAATAAGGGATAGGGAATGGGGACAAGATACGCAGAAAGAACAATCACAAGACAGTGTTCTGATCAAGTGGCAAACATTATTTTTCTCAGGCTAGCTTATATAGTCAGCAGAGCAGGATATGGGGAGGGATAGAATGGGTTGTTTGTGCGCCAGGTGTTAGTGAAGCAGGATATTAGGAAACCACAAAGAGAAGATGTTTGGCAGGGTAAAGAGTTCATGAGTAAGAGGTCTACGAAGGGTTTCCTAGGTGACTGAGCCTGTAGGTAGAACATAGGGTGGAGGACTGGGTCAAGTTGTTTCTTTTCTTGAGCTGAGGTTCTAAAGAGTTCTATGTAAATGTTAATATATAACTATGTGGCCTGCCAAGCATGGTCTAGGATCTTGTGCCATGCCCTGAAGTATTTGTCTCCCAAAAAATATTAATTATAAATATTTGGCCAAGGATAATTCATATTAATGAGTAACTCTCCCAATTAAATTAACCCATTCAGTGTATGATTTAGTAT